ATCTCATATCAATGATGACTTTTGGTTTCAAGTAACAGAGTCAGACAGTGGCTGCCATAAGTAAAAAAGGAAATTATTGGAAGAAAATTGGGAATTTCTAGAATCAGCAGGAGGCTGAGTGACCAGGATTGAAAAGGCCAGAAACCAAGGGAGGAGGCATAAGCAATAGCAGTATTGGCCAGGTAGCGATAATGCTTTCGAATCATCCCTTCATTTTTGGACAGCTGGTTCCAAGTTTCACAATCCTGGTTGGGACTGTCTAATTTTCAGAACCTTAGTCACTTATCAGTCCCTTGGCTTACTAGGGGTGGAGTGTGAAGAAGAGGAGCTCTTCTCTTTGGCTTTCTCAGTGGAAAATCTAATTCTGTTTCCCAATAACATGACATAAAATTGTCTTAGGTTAATGAAGGGAGCCTTGCAAAGTGACAAGCACTCATTACTCACATATCCCAATTTCCACACGCTACAGCTTTTCATTACGGTTGGATTTTGGGTAATGATGCAGCTTTAATTTAGCTACACTGCCCACTAACTCGGGCTTTGGTTAACAGTTCTAGTTATCTTCATGGGTACTTTTGAATAAAATATTTTATCTATGCATAGTTTCATCCTAGCTTTGTGTTATCCTTCCATAGCATGCAGCAAACTAATACTTATTTAGCCTTTAACTCATTATCAGAATGATTATAGAGATGTAGTATCTGAACTAATTTTTTAATTTACATTCTTTATTGACCAAGTCTGCAACAGATGCTTTGTTGACCCCCCCCCCACCACCACCACCACCACTCTCCCTCGTCCCCGTGTCCCTTCAGGCACACTGCTTCATTCCACACAGCTCTAGAAGTGCTGTGGAATGAACACTTCTCAACTAAGGACCAGCCCGACAGGAAGTGGGGTATAAGTACCCTAGCTCCCTGGCTCCTTCTTTGGAACTACCTTGGGTCTTGTGTTCTACACCAGTGTATCTCACACTATTGTTGGACCAGTGTTTTATTTTTAGTCCATCATGGATTGTTACTTTAAAAAATGAATTATAAAAAAATGGCTGTCAGCTTTATTCCAGAAGTGGCTCTGAGGGGGCACACGGCTTAGTGTGGTCTTTGTTAGCTTTCACCACGGCCTACCGTG